AAATAATTATTTACAATGTCATTTGACCCCATGACTGTAAAGAAGACGCCTTGTGAGATAACTTGTGTCATTTCCTTCTCTCCAACCAAAGTCGTTAGCTTCTGCTTGTAGTCTTGAAATAGTTCGAGTTGATCGTCACTCGACAAGGTTGTCTGCATTAATTTGCAGGTCTCAGCTTACGTAACAATTAATTTTATTCTTAGAAACAAAAAAGATATATAACAACTTCAATATTGATATAGCTTCTTGATTCGGAAATAAAAACAAAAATATAAACATATATATAAATCAATTACCGCGAGCTTGGATGTGAGCGGATCATAGCCACTGCCACCACAGGCAAACGCTACACCAGTGAGTAGGTCCTTCAGTTCTAGATCAGAACTAAGGAAAGGAGGCAGCAGCTCCTTAATACCCAACTTGGAAGCTGTTCAGAAACAATTGCATGCATTAGATGTTTCGCCCAACGTTGCAGTACCACTACTGGTGATGAGTCTAGCACTATTAAAGAACAAGGACCTTTATCCAATTTTCCTTATATGTCACTCATGTACTGTTCGAACATTTTAGTTTTAAATAAATTGATTGCGGTTTCTAAACTTGTTAAGAGGTGGTATTTTGGTACACGAACTTTGTAAACATGTTTCTAAATCCCTAATTGCACTCCCTGTTTCAAGTTATAGTTTACTTTGACTTTGTTCTAAGTCAAATCTTTGTAACTTTACCTAGGTTTATATAAATATGCACAAACATCTAGAATATTAGATTAGTTCGTTATTCTTTATAAAATAACTTTTTATAGAGCTTTTCTTTGAATATGTAGGCGTTGATATATATATTTTTTTAAAAACATAGTAAAAGGAAGTATTTTAAGTTAGAACAGATTAAATTCATAGTGAACGACGACTATAATTTGAAAGGAATGGAATATCTCGAGTGTTATGGAACTAGTTATTTTTCAAAACTGGAACTGAGGCAAAGTCAGAAAACTATGTATCATAAAAATGAAGAGAGGGAGTAGAGTACAAGTACACAAATTAATTTGAATGTACCGACGTGCGTGCTTGTGCCATAAATAAATGTACGTGAATGCAGCACAGTTTCATTCGCGCGCGCGCGCGCGTATATGTATATGTGTGTGTGTGTATATATATATATATATATATATATATATATATATATATATATATATATATATATATATATATATATATATATATATATATATATATATATATATATATATATATATACACGTACTGTTATGTAGCTGGCCGCGGCTGTTATGTAGCTGGCCGCGGAATAAATTATTCTGTGGCCACTTTGAGTTACGATAATTAGTATACTAATTTACGAAATTATGGTAACTCCCTCATAAGTGATTTACTATAGCATTACCGGTAAGTATCATCTTGAATTATAGTAACCCATGTATCGTAAATGTGTATTGTCATTATTGTAAATTGGTACAAACATTATAGTAAATCAAAGTGGCCATAGAATAAGTTATTCTATGGCCAGCTGTAGAATAGCCTTACCGTATGTGTATATATATATATATATGCTTGTGCCATAAATAAATGTACGTGAATGCAGCACAGTTTCATTCGTGTGTGGTGTTATTCTACACCGCAAGCCAAAACTGACCAGAAAAAATACCGAGTAAGTATCAGTCAGTACTACACCCAGTATCCTAAAATACTGAATAATATTGAAACGCGACTACTGAACAGTACTGCATTTTGTTTAGTATAATAGCTTGGTGTAGAATAGTATTCTACACCTCATCGCGGGCGCGCGCGTGTGTGTATATATATATATAGAGAGAGAGAACTACTACCCTATAGCTGGCTACAAAATAACTTATTCTATAGCCACTTTGAGTTACAATAATTACTATGTTAATTTACGAGATTATAGTAACTTCTTACTAACTGGTTTACTATAATGTTATGGTAAATATCCTCATGTGTTATAGTAATCCAACTATCGTAAATATATATTGATATTATCGTAAATTAGTATATAAAATTATCGTAAATGGAGGTGGCTACAGAATAACTTATTCGTGGCCAACTCACTGAATATAGGAGAGTATATTCGAGTGGCAGGCTAATAAGTGTTATAAAGTGAATACATATTTACTTATAATTTTATATACTAATTTACGATAGTTACATATTTACGATAGTTGTGTTACTATAACACATGAGAATATTTACCGTAACGTTATAATAAATCACATAGTAAGGAGTTACCATAATCTCGTGAATTAGCATAATAATTATCGTAATTCAAAGTGACCATATAATAAGTTATTTTATAGCCGGCTGCAGAATAGTATATATATATATATATATATATATATATATATATATATGCCTTTGGTATGGTTTGGACCGGCTCAGTTATATCACTGTTCAACTACCGGAACCAGTGTAGCAAAAAAAAAAAAAAGCTTCCCCGGCTTTGTGAGAGGAGAGAAAAAAAAAGGTTGATAATATAGACCTCTACTGATTTTATAGACGCTTACAGCTTATCCATCAGCTCACCGGAATAATAATTGGCTGACATATACGATCCACTTGTCTGTCAAAAAAAAATAGTTCTATCTAAGTCAGCTATGAACTCACTCCTCTCTCTCCTCCACACTAGCATTGAACCCACCTCCAGATCTTTACTATACTTTCTTATTAGGAGTATATATTTATATATAGTAGTAACTAGATGTAATTAATCTCTTGATTTGAGAACCGTACCTCCGAAGTACGGATGAGAGTAGCATTGGAATCTAAACAAGGTAGCATGTCGGCAACATTATAGGAGTACTCCACGCACGTACCTAAGAGGTCCCCAGGGACCAAGCCATTGGAGAACCTCCCGGTGGCGACGCCGCCGGGGAAGTCCTGCCCGTACGGCGGGAAGTTGGCCTTCGCCTCCGTGAACCGGTTGTTGTTGTTGCCGGGGTCGACGATGGAGTCGCCGAACATGAAGATGGCCGGGATCTTCGGCCGCTGGTGGTCGTCCGTAGCGGCGGCGGAGCCACCAGCTGCTGCCGTCGTCGTCGTAGCTCCGTCTGCATGGACGACGACGACCACCAGCGCCGCCGCCGTGGCCACGAGGAGTGCCCGGACGAATCGGCAGCACGGCGCATGGGCACGCCCCCTGAGACAGGGCGTCGTCAGAGACTGAGACGACGCCATTATTGCCAAGTCGTCGTCGTCGTCGCTTCTCCAGCTGCTGCTGGCCGGGCCGGGACACTCTCGTCTGGCGCCCCACGAGTTCCATTTATAGCGCGCATGAGGGGGAGTATGTAGAGAGTAGACGTGGAGCCAGCCAGCCAGGGAACTCAGATCAACCGACTGCTGTGCTGTGACGACGCGAACGCGATCGACGGGCGGCTGCTATCTCTGCATGATGACTCGGTGGTTGCGCGTTGCATCTGCCACGCCGCAGTTATTAATACTGCATGTGGGAGCAGAGCACTGTGACTATGAAAAGGGCAGGCCGCTAACATGATTATTGCCACTGCAGGCAGGAGCCAACGCGGTCCCGAGACACGTATTCACCCCGATCCGTCTCGAAATAAGTGCTTGTGTTTTTGATTTCGTACTGATCAAACTTACAAAAAATAATTTGTTAAGGCGCAAGAGGTAGAATCCCAGATACCAAGACGAGTGGCTGGCTTCTTGAATTTTGCTTGCATGCATCAACGCCCCATCAATTTTCCTCCGCGTGCCTGCATCACAATGGGCTACACTAATTAAGCATGCGCTAGCTGTCCGCTTGGTTTCCCTTCGCATGTACTATACATGCACGGGATTGGTTGCACTAAGTAAGCATGCGTCGGCGGGTTCCTCGGAAGGTACCCATGCCCAACGTATTGTCAAAAAATGAAGAAAAAAACGCCGTACGCCCAACGAAAGATCCATAAATATTCATAGTTTGTTGTATATTTTTGGTTAAAACTAAAGACACGTTTGATTTCTTAATTAGAAAGTGAGGATATCTTCCTCCGTTCCCGAATATAAGGCATGCACGTATTTCAAAATTCAAACTTTGTTATCTTTGACTAACAATTAGTCTAACTATATCAGAAGTTTGTATTACAGAAATAGTTACATTAGATTTGTATTTAGAAATACTTTATGCTGATCAAATTTTTGTTCCTATAAATTATAAGAGAAGCTATATATCCAAATATATTCTTAAAACCCCGCACCAAGTCAAAATGGTGCCTTATGTCCTGGTACAAAAGGGAATACCAACTAATCACACGAAAGGACACAAGGTAGTAAAGGAGATAGAGATAGCATTATTATGTGTAGTAAATCTTTGGTAAGTACTACAGTACGTCCGGCATGTAGTAGCCCTGGACGGCTGTTGCACCCGAATTGTCCATCCGCTGGTACTACTATAATTAGCAGCTACACATGCATGCAAATAAATCACGATCACGTCCCCTGTTTCTTAGGTATATGGGTTAGTCTTAATAACCGGCTACTATTAGCTAGTGCGCGGCCTCTGTTAGCAATGAATTGCCACCAAAATGGCGGGAACCCACCATCAGTCAACAAAATGTAGTAGTAGAGACCTAGCTGCATGCATGCAGGAATATCGTGTGTATAATGAAGAATGATGGGTTGTGGTCACCTAAAGTGTGTTAGATTATTGCTGTACGAGTGTAACTATATATGGGAGGCCCACATTAATAAGCACCGAACCAAACAGATAAGGCGGAGCAGGAGCATCGTGTTGAATGCTGAGGCAACCCGTGGGGCTTGCTTCCAAACCTATGCGCCCATAGGCCGGCGCGCACGGTGACGTCGCATCCAACCAAACGGAGACACAGATAATAAAATAAGACAATACAGACTAACCAAACAACAGCAAATTGCATTAACTTGTGCAGGCGTAGCCTATGCTGCTGTATAAATCTTAATGCAATGCAAGTCCTGGGCGAGTAACCATTCACCCTTAGTGTTGCACGCCCAAAGAAAATGGAGGGTCAACCAAAAATTGTAAAGCAACATAGAAGTCGACTTAGACAAGACATGAAAGTTCAAAACAAAGTGACAAATAAATCTAGTGTGCGTTGCTAAGAAAAACTCTTGCATCATAGTGTTCTTACTCACTACTATACGCTAAATAACAAGTTGCATGGTTTATGCGGTATGAAGAGAATGGAGGTGGTGTAGAAACTTAAGCATCAATAGATAATGCTCATATAAGAGTAGCAATGTCTTCACTAGTTTCACCAATTTCTTGGTGGTAGTTTTAATATTGCTCTTTTTCAACTTTGTAGGACTAGTTTTTAGAGAGTCCTAGTGAAATCGATGATACGCATGTTTAAGATTTCCTTTTAAAGCCCAAATTTTTGGTAGGTGCTGCCGCGTGGAAAGGCTCTTTTCTTCTTTTGGGATGAATGTGGTGAACACTTGTGGAAATTATTTTGGTTAAACCCGTATGGATTGATATATGTTGTACTGGATTTTGCTGGAGATTATTTTGGCTGTTTGGAGCAGAAAACTATCCAAAATACTGACGTACGTAAAATGGTTTTAAATCTGTGCTTAGACAGTGTTGGTATTTGTTTATGTACTAAATCAAGCGTCTGTTTCTGTGTTTTGCTCGCCTACGTCCTCAAGTTGTGCTCATTTCACTCTCGAACTATGCCTTGATTGGGCTAGGATTTGTACGTGGGCTGTCTTTTATGCTTAGAGAAAGTTGAGAGGTACAACGTGTTGGATAAGAAATGGGTAGCATCCGGAAGGCTGTGTGGCTTTGCTCCAGGACGTCAAAGAATCCATGTCGATCTTTATCATTATATTATGAAAAATAACATGAATTAACTCGCAAAATTTTCACCTAAATTACTATCTATATAGCATCATAAAAACATAATCTAAGGTAAACCTCTAAATTTATTTAGTCCTAATAAATGGGTGGCGTTATGGAATTAAGACAGCAAGCAGGACGGTACTTTACTGCTCTGCAGTCTGCATTGGTTATCAGTGAATCATCAACAGCCCACCCACCTCACCGAAACAACTGTTTTTGTTTTGCTGATTCTCATTGTCGCTCCTCCCCTCTCTGCCCACCAAATCCTGCCGTGCCGTCCTCGGTCCTCCTACCGGATCGAAGAGGATGCCGCCGCCGCCGGCGCACGGCGCGGACGGCGACAAACCGCTAGTGCTGCTGGCGCAGCCGCTGTTCCCGAACTTGGCGGCGGCGCTGGAGGGCCGGTACCGCCTCGTCCTGGCGGCGGACGCCGATGCGGCCACGGTGGCGGAGGCGCGAGTCCTGCTCGTGCCGGGGCTCGTGGCCGTGCCCGCCGAGCTGGTCGACAGGTTCCCGGGGCTGGAGCTCGTCGCGGCGACCTCCGTGGGGCTGGATCACGTGGACCTCGGCGCCTGCCGCCGCCGCGGGCTCGCCGTCACCAATGCCGGCGCCGCCTTTCCGTCGACACCGCCGACTACGCCGTCGGCCTCGTCGTCGCCGTGCTGCGCAGGGTCGCCGCCGCCGAGGCGCACGTCCGGCGCGGCGCGTGGGCGTCGGAGGGCAAGTACCCGCTCGCCACCAAGGTTAGTTTGACTTGTCAAACCATGCCCACTCTGCATGAGTGCTGCTTTCTTGATGGATATAAAATTCATACGTTAACCTAAAATTAAAAACATGTCGTAAACTTAAAGTTCAAGTGCGCAATATTGGTCTTTTCAGGTTTAATTCATTTTTTTTTGAACTTGCCTACACTTATGTCCACTATTGTCGGCCCAACTAAGGCTTAAGAAGTACTTTGTCATAGCTCCATCATCTAAAAGGCCCAATAGTGCACTAACGTATGTTTCACCTAATTGTTCATAGTTCCCCTCAAAAAAACCTTATTGTTCATAGTTTGTCTAACAAATATTTCATTATATTTACCTCAAAAAATATTTCATTATATATTTAGTTAAGTCACACACGATAAACACTATTTTATTTGTTATAATAACAAGTACACCTTCTCAAATTTGATATGGTTGTACACGTATTTAGTCGGTCGGACTCTCAAACTAAAATAAGGGGTGCGGAAGTTGAAAGTGCATCGAATAGAGATCTTGACCTTGAAAATAACATTAAAGCTAAATTTTACTCAAATGATTCAAGGCCTTCACTCACTTGAATTTTTCTGCTCACTCTAAAGATGCCACGTAGTCTTCTTTGCAACTCTGGCAAGGCTAGGGTTAGGATTCGAGGTTAATATGATGGCAATCTTAGAAGGATTGTCGTGGGAGAAGGCCGGCCCGATAATGGTGGCGGGTGTGGGGTGAGGCGGCGGTGGCATAGTCAGTAGGGCAGTGGGGGAAGGTGGTTGGGGGCTGGGCTACGACGGTGTGTGACGGTGATAGCCCGGCGACCTCCCGAGATTAATATGACGGCAATAGTAGGAGGCGATGGACCTGGCGAGATGCCGCCTAAGGCAGGCAAGAGGTGGTGGCGGTTGGGGAGCTCGGCTAGAGATGGAGATGATTGAGTGGAAGGAGGCACATCGATAGATTTTAGAGCCAAGCCATGGTGGACAGCATCGAGCCATGTAGGAAGGCAGAGATAGCAAGGGTCAGCACGAAGAGCGAAGCCAGGGGGCTGGCAAGGGCCATGCCCCCCCCCCTCCCCCCCAACAACAACACAAACATATTTTTTACTCAATATTTTTATTAAGAAATATATAATATAAATTCTTACCATATATATTTATTCGCTATGTGATACTTTAATTAACTAGTTAATAATGTTAATTTGTACGTCGATTTTTGTCCTCTTTCATTTAATCTTTTGTAGCATTTTATATAAGTCTTTCTTTTATTTTTCTCCATCTCTTTTGTTCACACAATAACCCTCTAATTGGCTAGTTAAATATAATTAGTGCTTTCTTGTTTACTCTCCTTCTAAATTGACCTCCATTAACACCTATGTTATGTGGGATTAGTCTTTCCATGATTCTTTTTTCTAGCACAAGGGGTAATTAATTTTGTTGCTTTTTTTCTAAAATATTTTGTGTTCTTTTTGTAGTTTTTAGTTTTCTTTTATACTATTAACCCAAAACATTTATTTGGTTGTTATGTATACTTTGGCTGTGTATGTATTTCGTCATGTGTGATTGTTATTGGCTTGAACGGCTCTATAAATTCTGGCTCCACCACTGGGTGTGGGCCGTGTAGTGACAGTGTCGGGGTGGAGGAATAAGATGGAAAAGAAGAGATGGAAATTTGATATTAGTTTTTTTTTTATTTTAGATCTATGGGCAAAAAATCAGATAGTTGTCCTTGAATCACTCAATTGTTGCCAACCGGATAGGAGAAGTGTAGAAAAAATGTAACAGAACAAAATTTGATACGACTCATTTAATTTGCAGGTGAGCGGCAAGCGCGTGGGGATCCTGGGGCTGGGCAGCATCGGCACGCTGGTGGCGCGGCGTCTCGCCGCCTTCGGGTGCCGCATCGCCTACACCTCCCGCGCGCCGAAGCCGTCGTGCCCCTACGAGTTCTTCCCCACGGCGCGCGCCCTCGCCGCGGCCAGCGACGTGTTGGTGCTGTCGTGCGCGCTGACGGAGGAGACGCGGCGCGTGGTGGACTGGGGCGTGATGGAGGCGCTGGGCGCGGGCGGCGTGCTCGTCAACGTCGGCCGCGGCGGCCTGGTCGACGAGCCGGAGCTGGTGCGGTGCCTGCGTGAGGGCGTCATCGGCGGCGCCGGGCTGGACGTGTACGAGAGGACGAGCCGGACGTGCCGCCGGAGCTGCTCGCCATGGACAACGTCGTGCTGTCGGGCCACAGGGCCGTGCTCACTGTGCGGAGTCCATGCGCGGGGTGGCGGAGGTCGTCGCGGGAAACCTAGAGGCCTTCTTCGCCGGCAGGCCGCTGCTCAGCCCCGTGACGCTGTGAACTCTGGACCACATGCATGGAGGATACCTCAGCTCGTCGCGACTGCCGAGTGCCATCGATCAAACTTCAACCCGAGTGGGATGGATATAATAATCAACTGTCCATCACGGACGCCCTCACGCGCCGGCAAATCACCTGGTTAAGGCCACAAATTTATCTATGCATATATGATAAGCAACAATAATAAGAAAAAGCAAACAGTGCCATAAGCGAAAGAATGGCCACAGAAATTAGAGTGGAAATATGCAGACTGCCGGGAAAAAAGCAGAGCAAGGCTGAATCAATAACTGCAACAGTGTGCATAACATTGACTGAACAACTTAATCCTACGTCACATATTACACGTAGTAGAGCAATGGAGCAAGTTGGAAGATTGTTGTACCTATGCAGAATTAGACTCTTGGCACATGTCCTGGCCTCTGCAATTGAGTGGATGATTGTACCAAAGGCTGTGAGGGGGGGGGGACAACTATTCAATGACAACAAGCATGAACCAAAAGTATCAAAGCAGCGAGACACGGAACTTACCAATAGCAACGTGGTTTCTGCTAACACGGCTCTATTCAGATCAGGCAAGAAGCTCCAACACTAGACAGGTAATGATTTTTTTATCCTCGCTTAACCAGAAAACCTTGTATTCACAACAGTAAATTAGGAGACGCAGATGAACTGATTTCCCATTTGTCAGAAAGATAAACGAATTTAAAACTTTGAGTGACCCAAATAGGACAGAGGATGACAATGCGCACTCAGACAGTACGTATCTAAGTTTGGGACTAAATTGTGCATTAACTGTAGAAAATTTAATAGGAACTACTGAAATGGCAAGAGCTGACCATGGATACTTAGAATAAGTTAGCATAGCACATTTACATTGCCATGAAAAAAATTCTGAAAAAGTACTCATCAGTTGACACCTAGTTGGTCTTCAGAAGCACCTTAATTTGTAAATGTATAATTTCAATACAAATCTGCACTACCCATGACTTCAAGATATAACAACCAGAAAATGTCACAACACTATGGCCAGCAGAACTTACAAAGTGAAAAACAACGGGGCATGCAATTAGTCTCTGAGCTAGAATGAAGTGAAATATATGAGAAAAAGGGATAGGGTATGCAATAGCTAGTAATGAGACAATTGGCTAAAACTAAATCACCTTAATACAATCTATTAATTCAACATATAACAACTGGACAAGAACCCAAGATCTAATTATCAAGAGCCTATCAACCAGAAAATTGAAAATAAATCAATCAGTTAGCGTACAAGCATGACGAGAGAAAACAATTATAAGAAATTGAGAGTATTTACTTGTAGAGGAGGCCATGGGGAACCTACTTCAGCCATCTTTATAGAACACTGGTACTAATGAATCTGGAATTCAGCTTTGGAACGAATGGTACAACGGAATCTCTACGGAACAACAAGCCATCATCACTATATAAGTATATAACTACGTAAAACGAGAACTACATAGATAAGTAGGACCATAATCAATGAACATCACCTGAGACTAATGCTCTGTGTGCCGATGGCGGCACCGGCGGGGCCCAGTCGCACCGAGGGCACCCACCATGGGCGGCCACATCGGGAGAGGAGACAGGGGGGAGAGATGCGCACGCGGAGTAGGGGGTGGAGGCGTAGTGGCTGCGCCCAGCAGCGAGGCCCGGCCGCGGTTGCACCGCCTCGTCGGAGGACGGCCAGCGGGACGGTCCGCCCGCGCGCGCCGCTGTGTGTCTCCGTGAAGCGCCTGCTCGAGGCCGGACAAGCAGAGCGGGGGGAGGTGCCATGGCCGGCGCGCCGTGCGGGGGAGAGGGAGGGGCACTGCCGTGCCGCGTGGGCGGACGAGGAGCCACGGCCATCGGGACAACGAGCGAGGGCGAGAGAGAGAGGGGGGAAGGGAACACTGAAAGAGTCGAGATTGAGAGAGAGAGAGGAGGGCAGTAGATATTTTGGTGCATGCACAGTAAAAACCGGTGGAGGCAGCCTGAACCGTTGATCTTAGAATCCTATGGCTGAGCCGTTCTAGGGTGATGTGGATGGGCTAGGAGGCGGCCAAAGCAAACTTCTTTAATAATATTAGAATGGGAAAAAGATTCCAATGGGGACGGTCCTCATGTAACATCGTAGATGGTGAAGATTTATGACACGTGTGTCCATACGCACGCATCCAGCATAGAAAAGAGTTATAGTTTTTCTTTTGTTATTACTTTTAAAATTTAAATTTAATCAATAGTTCTATGCATCGGATGCATACGTACCAACATGTGAAAATGCCTGTTGTTGTTTCATGGGGCCCATCCCCACTTGTATTACTAGACACAGTCAGCCTGTTCGCTGGTTGATTTCTAGGTTGATAAGCCTGGCTGGTACTGGTTTGTTGTGAGGGGAAAACACTATATCATAGCTGATAATTCCTGACCGAAACCAACGAACGAACAGGCTGAGTAATTCAAAGTTCGTGTGTGTATATATATATATTGTTTGGAATTTGATGTTTCTTTTACCTCTAATTTTCTAACTTCAAAATTGTACCCTCATTGTTTTGATTTGAAGTTGTCGCTTCTTCCCCTGTTCTGGATGGAGACATCATAGAGGGAGTCTACCTCTGTCTAGCAGCGGCGTAGAGGGGAATTCAGCACTCACACCTCCACTTGCTCGCTTTCCTAGCAACTCATCATCATCGACCTAACGACCATGCCACCGGCGTGCTCTTGTTGGCAGTTACGATTGACTAGAGCTTTGGCTGAACCCTGCCCCACCCACTCACCCAGCCTCATCGGGCGACGGCTCCACGTCAGCCTGGACTGGGAGTTGACGACGAAGCCCATGTCGATGGTCGATCGGTGTGATGCACCAGATGTAGAGTGGCACTAACCACCGATGTCGAAGTTGTTCTTGAGGTAGTCGTCCGCCCGTGGGAGGCTGGGAGCGAGCGCAGCCGAACACGCTGTGTATCGTCCAAGAAATGAGCTCGGCGAGATGGACGTAAAAACTAGTGTCCGCGAGCATTGGGCAAGCCTGGCCTGGCCTGGGTTAACCATGGACAGTGGACATGCACGCCTGCGGCTTGCAGTTCATTCGCGGCGGCGCGCGCGGCGGCGGCCGCGCGGATTTCCAGATGCACCCGTCGTGCTCCTGACTCCTTGTCCCGTTTAGTAGTTGCTGTCGTGTTTGGTTTTAACTGAGTTTGCATTTCAAGAAATTAAACCATTTCGAGTTATGAACAATGATAATATTTTTTTTCTACAAACTTAGTTAAAGCTAAGGTTATCTTTTACCGGAGGTAAGCAAAGGTAAATAAAAAAAAAGGTTGATCCAACGCGGGCGGGACCCCTTCCGGCAGTGCAGGAGCTGGCTCCCACTTTTCCTACGACTACAGCACAGTGTCGCTGCTGTGCGTAGGGTAGGAGTATCTGGCCGCCGCGCCCCGTCGTCACATGCACCTGCGCGCTGTCCGTTTCCCGGGCGACTCTTTATGTGGTCCAGCACCACGCATCTCATGGCCCCACCTGTCAGCCGACATTTATTTATTATACTGGTAGTATACTAGTAGGAGTACTGTCAACGATAGGACAAACCACCGCCCATGCTCCGTTGCTTTGCATTTGCCCCCGAGAATTCCGCCTCTCACGCAACCATTTCTAGCTACCTCCTCGTACGTACACGCTCAATGCACAATGCAGAGGTGTGCACACGGTAGGTAGGTATAGTAAGTATATAGGTATAATATACAGATGCAGCTGTGCAGGTGCATCTCCCCTGGCAAATCATCTTCTATCTGAGTTTCAGGGGCAGCACCCCTGCAGATTCATCACTCACTCACTGCCGACGCGACTGATCGATAATTGCCTCAACCTGCCGACGATGGGGATGGCAGATGGAATACCTGTTCGGCTAATTATTTCAACGGCCGATAAACCGGCCGAGGTTGAATTGTTGTGCAGAATAAGCACTATACCGTATCTGATAAGTCACGTTGATAAGTTCGAGCGAACAGGAGGCAGGGCAGGCTTCCGCAAAAGTGTAAGGAAATTGAGGATATTATTCACCCGCAGGCTCAGGGACATACTGGGACCTGTTTGGATCCATTAGCTAATAGTAGTTAGTTAGTTAATAGCACATAGTTAGTATTGGTTGGCTAACAATATGTACCTATTAGCTGGGATGGAGGGTGTTTGGATACACAGCTAATTAATGAGATAGTTATTTCTCCACCTATTAGCTGTTGTTATCGGGTTTTGGTCCGACTAGTGAGATAATTATTATCAAGTGGTTCAGCTAACAATTAGTTAATCTATTAGTTGTACCTGTTTGGATCTAAGTGAGACAATGATTACAGTTAGTTATTATTTATAGGGATCCGAACAGGTCTTAGATACACACAATTTCAAAATACTTGTGCATAGCATATGAAGTGGCCTGTTTAGTTTGGCCTACGCTAGCACATACAAAACTCTAAGGCTCTAACTTATCCCCCCCACCCCCCTCTCTCTCTCCTCACTCCCCATAGCCACCACCCTACCTTTACATCGTGACTCCGTCTCCAAGGTGAGGCCGAGGCGGTGCACGCGAGTCACGGTGGCAAACGGGCGACAGGCGACCACACCACACGCCTCCATGCCTTGCCCCGTGCACTCCGGCTCACTTGCCCACTTCGGCCTAGGTGAGTGGCCAAGGCAACCGATCCGGTGGCCAAGTGCCTAAGCGCGGAGGCACGAGAAGGCGGCACCGACACCGAGCCACAATCATGGACCTTTTGATATATTGTGTGTGCTTTGAACTGTGAATCAGTCATTTTGCTTAATTAGTTTCTACATTGAGTCATTTTCCTATTACTAAGATGGAAAATGAGGATTTCAATACTACTCATTGTTGTGATCTATATGATAACGTGCACGGTGAGTACTCGGCGGTGTGGGTACACAATCTTATACGTAAGGCTTCATGTTGGTATGGGTAAGAGTTAGAGTTTCAAATACAATTGTGTGTGAGTAATTGTGTTACCCGTGCATCTAAATCAATGCTTGTTGCCATCCCTAGTTGATGGGGCTCGGCGTCATGGTCGGCTCCACTATCACAATTCACAAACGAGAAACGAGATGATCTAGGATGCGTTTGGTTGAATGGGTGAGAAGGGTTGGATGGAGCAATTCCGTTATGATCGGTATTTGGTTGAGGGACCGAGGGATGGAGTCAATTGCTCCCCGCACTTGAATATTCGCCAAGAGTTGAAGCAAGCCAGTTCTAGAAAATTCGCCAAACGAGTTCATTCCAATCAAACAAAGATAGGCGTCATCTCCTCTGCGGTGACTCCTCTTTCCACAAATGATGCTACTCTGGTGGGGCGGACGACATGGGCGGGCGGGAGAGAAGTGACACGGGACCATAGGCGGAGGTGGCCAGAGAGGTGCCGACGTAGTAGGGTGGAAGTAGCGGGCGGATAGAGACACCGACGTAGGCAGGAATGAGGCCAGCAGTGCGGACACATAGTGTGCTGACGGCTTGACGGAGCTGCAAGCAAATGTATAGAGGAAGAATATAAGGCCTTCTTTGGATTCCACTGGGATCCTGAAAGCTCGCTTTTAAAAGTTGGATAAATTTAAGCTAGATTATAAAAGGTAGATTGGTAGGCCGTGGATTCACAGTTCCAAAGCTGATAGGCTTAAAATACGGAGTAAGATTACTAAAATGCTCTTACTCTTTGTTGTGAATAGATGGGAACCAGAGAAATAGGGATGGGTAGAATCGTCTTTGAACATCTAGAAGCTTCAAAAACTGTGTTGGTTCAGCCTCCCAAATTGTCCAATATATAGACCTCTAGACTTCGTAGGCTGGTTAAAAGCTAAGATTATTTGGATCTCCTAGGAGATTTTAGAAGCTAGCTTCCACAATCTAGTGGTCTCTAAGGATGATGTAACTGTTGTTTGAATATTGTCGGATTCGTCTTAATTCACGTGTGTTGGAGGTTGATTGAAGTGGAACTTGAACTAAATTTCTATCAACCCAGCTCAACACATGCGGATTTATGCAAATCTGACTACATCCAAACAAGGCATAAGGTGGACCATATGTGACAGTGGCTAAACAATTTGTCCTCTTATTTATCGCATTGAGTACTTTAATCAAGCAAGAAAATAAAAACCATTCTGTTTTTTTCATCCAAGCAAGGAAATACCTGCTCTATCCTAAATCTGGAATGGAAACAGAACGGACCCTAGCGGCTAGCGCCGTTCCCGTCCGGGTCCGGCGGTCGGCGCCGCTGCGTGCAGTGCAGGGCCCTGGGCCCCCCTGAGACAGCGCCATGTGCTCCCCGGCAGCCACGCGTTCCATCCAGCTCATTAATCAAAACAACACCTTTCCTCCATCAATCCAACAACTGCAACCAAACAGTACTGCTTCTGGCTAGTAGACGTTGCGAGATGACGACGACGAGACAGACATTAGCTGGAACCCCAGTTCCCACCGTCCCGTCCATGGTTCCGTCCAGCAACCACACCACACCACGCCTCATGTGCGAATCAGGTTCGGCGGAATCGCAATCTCCAAATTCTCGATCCGCCGCTGCCTGCGGATATCTCTCGGTGTCCTGTCCTGCTCCACCACACTTGGGTGTTGCCTCCTGAATTATTTGCTCGCTATTATTAGTACCACCAATATATCAGTTGGGATCCTTCGTCTTCCTCCTCGGGTCCATCTCGAGGCTCAAGTCTGAACGAACTTATACTCCGAAGCTTACTTACCGGCGAAGCGAGCCGCCATTTGTTGACGATCCTCCCCTGCTCCCAAGTCGACTTCTTGTGCGGGTTCCGTGGTTTCTTCTCGCTGCTAGCTGCTTCTTCTGCCGGCGCCGAATCGAGAGCGTGTCTCCGGAATCTCTCAGTCAGGTCAGTGGAACCGAGGCTCCAAAATCTCCTCTTTGCTGCTCTTCACTCTTCCCGTTCAATTCGGAGGATTTTTCTTGTTTCATTTTCAGCCTCTTCTAAGTAGTACCGAGTCCTGTTCTTGATTTTGCTCCTCGATGAATGAATGCTTCACATTCCTTCCTGAATCACTTTCCCTCAATACCATAATGCTGATTCGATTACTCTCGCAGGCTGCAGAGTGCAGAGTGCAGATTCTAGCGATTGATTCTACTGGGGTTCTACTACTCGCTCAAGATTGCGGCTCCAAGGGAAAGATGAGGTCTTTTCCCCATCTGCTGCTGATCCTGGTGCTACTCTTGATCCTGGAGAATGTCCGAGCGCAACCCAACAAACCACTTCTCATCAACTGCGGCTCGGGTTCAAGCGCCGATGTCGACGGCAGGACATGGGTGGGGGACGCTCGTCCTGACGGCACCGACTTCACGGTCACATTGCCCGGAGCCATTATCCCTGCTCCAAAACCTGACGGAGGTGGAGATGCGTACGGGGACCTGTACAGGACTGGTCGCGTCTTCGACGCGTCGTCCACCTACAAGCTCAGCGTCGCCGCCGGGAGCTACTTCCTCCGGCTCCATTTCAGCCAGGTGTTCAGCAACCTCAGCAGCGGCAAGGAGTCAGTCTTCGATGTCACGGCCAATGGCCTGAGGCTGCTGTCCAAGTTCAGTGTCGCCGGGGAAATCTATTGGAGGAACACCAGGACCAACTCTACCAGCGATGTCATTGTGAAGGAGTACCTGCTCAATGTCACCGCCACGAAGCTGGACGTCGAGTTTGCGCCTGATGCCGGGTCGTTTGCCTTCGTCAATGCCATGGAGGTTGTGCCTGTGCTCGGCAACTCGATCTTCGATTCGGTTAACAAGGTGGGTGGTGTTGGGGTGAAGGGCCCTTTCAGCCTTGGAGAGAGTGGGATCGAGACCATGTATAGGGTGTGTGTGGGAGGTGGCAAGATTGAGAGGAAGGAGGACCCGCGCCTGTGGAGGAAGTGGGATTCGGATGAGCATTACATATTCACTATGAATGCTGCTCGCAGTATCAAGAATACATCCAACATAAGCTATGTGTCAAGTGATGATTCAGTTTCTGCGCCGCTGAGGCTCTATGAGACGGCCAGGGTAACGGAGGAGACTCAGGTGGTGGATAAGAAGTTCAATGTGTCTTGGAGGTTCAGTATAGACCCTGGCTTTGATTACTTGGTCCGGCTGCATTTCTGTGAGCTGGAGTATGAGAAGGCGGAGGAGCGCAAGTTCAAGATCTACATCAACAGCAAGACTGCTGCAGAGAATTATGATGTGTTTGCAAAGGCTGGGGGCAAGAACAAGGCGTTTCATGAGGACTTCATTGATGCTACCTCGTCAGAGACAGACACCCTTTGGGTTCAGTTGGGTTCTGAGTCCTCTGCAACTAGCTCTGCAGCTACTGATGCACTTTTGAATGGCATGGAAATCTTTAAGGTCAGCCGGAATGGAAATCTTGGCCATCCAACAATTAGAATTGGGGGTATGAGTGGTGGCTTGGATAAACCAAAGTGGAGCCCCAAGTGGGTACTGATCGGTGCTGCTGCGGGTTTGGTGATTTTTATCTCAGTTGCTGCTGCTGTTTATTTCTGCTTTTATCTGCATTGGAAGAAAAACGCCTCATCAGCTAACAAAACAAAGGACAGCCTACCGGCTACGCCAATGGCTACTAATGCTCGCTCCTCCCCCACTCTCCGCACAACTGGAACATTTGGTAGCTGCAGGATGGGTAGGCAATTCAGTATTGCGGAAATCAAAACAGCCACCATGAACTTTGATGAGTCCTTGGTGATTGGAGTTGGAGGCTTTGGCAAGGTCTACAAGGGTGAAACTGAAAATGGCACTCCAGTGGCAATTAAGAGGGGGCATGCACAATCTCAGCAGGGTGTTAAGGAATTCGAAACTGAGATCGAGATGCTCTCAAGGCTGCGGCACCGGCACCTTGTGTCCTTGATTGGCTATTGTGATGAACAAAATGAGATGATCTTAGTTTATGAGCACATGGCAAATGGCACATTGAGAAGCCACCTTTATGGAAGTGACCTTCCTGCTCTTACATGGAAGCAGAGGCTTGAAATCTGCATTGGTGCAGCAAGAGGGCTTCACTACCTTCACACTGGACTTGAGAGGGGCGTAATTCACAGGGATGTCAAGACTACCAATATTTTGCTAGATGACAACTTTGTCGCGAAGATGGCAGATTTTGGCATCTCAAAAGATGGCCCGCCTTTGGATCACACCCATGTTAGTACTGCTGTTAAAGGTAGTTTTGGTTACCTTGATCCAGAGTACTTTATGAGACAACAGTTAACTCAGAGTTCAGATGTGTACTCTTTTGGTGTTGTCCTGTTTGAAGTGCTTTGCGCTCGACCGGTCATCAATCCGACCTTGCCAAGGGATCAGATAAACCTTCCTGAGTGGGCTTTGAAGTGGAAAAGGCAGAACTTACTTGAGACCATAATTGACCCTAGATTAGATGGAAATTACACGCTGGAGTCCATCAAGCAATTCAGTGAGATAGCAGAAAAATGCCTTGCAGATGAGGGGAGGAACCGGCCTTCAATTGGTGAAGTCCTGTGGCACCTAGAAAGTGCTTTGCAGTTGCACCAAGCGCATCTGCAAAGTTCAACTGCTGATGATCTATCAGGGCATGAACTGAAGCTCTCTGATGCATCTACTAATATCCGGCGCATCGAAGAGGTAGAAGAATTCGCTCATGCAATCTGTGAAGATGCAGATGGGGAAGCAGTTGAAGTCAAAGTTGAGGTACCAGGGACTGTTGAATCGGTTGTCAGAGTCAACTGAATAGGGTGAGTGTCCAATTAACGGCATGCTCAGCTGCACAGCTATCTGCAGTACTGTAAACACCATGTATGGTTGCCCCAACAATATACTGAAATCCTTTTAGTTCAGTGGGGTTGATTCTTTGGCCTTATTCTTTCTTTTTCTTTTTGTTTGTTCTTTGCGCTGATGTAGAATGTGCTAAACGATACCAATTTGATTGATTCTTTCATAATATTCTGGAAAGAAATGCAATGTGGAGCATTACTTGGGAATGCGAGCATGGAATCCATTATGCTATTCTTTCATCGACTGAGTTTCAAAATCTGTAAAAACTTCATAAGTATAGCAATTTTCCTAAGGTTTAGTATTTTGGTTCAGACGGTCTTGGTATACCTTATTTATGGGACCACGGCCTTCTTATCTGAAGCCATAGGTTTCTTCCCCTTACTGAATTTCCTCAATTTGTCACATTGTACAACACATAGCAATGATAATTATTTATGGATTTTTCATTCACATATCCTATGGATCTAGGGACAGCTGGATACAGATATATATAAACTACGTGACACTGCATGGCACATAATTTTATTTGCTTCAGCCAGGCTTCAAGAAGCCAGGGCGCTAGTATTGTAAACAAGAAGAGCACCACCCAGCAATATTCCAGCAAGAGTGACTGCCCAGAGCAACAACCCTGTCTTTCCTGCATAAATCAAGGAAGGACGGTTATATGTGCCTTGGGAATTGAAACATCTGAAAGTTCTCTATAGTAGCAGTGAGCATTTCAAGGATCTTATTTTGGAAGGGTTTTCTGTGCATACCTCCAACATAAACGTCACCGCTTGGAGACCATTCTTCTGGGTTATATATTGGACTACAAGGAAAAGATTAGCATCATTATATTCGAAGGTGAAAGATGAATATGAGTGTTAATTCTGCTCTGGCCCCCTTTTAGTATTTTTTGTATGTTTCAAGCACTATTGCTTACTGAAAAGTACAGTTCCCTGTTACCAGATCTCATAATCTTGTATTTCAATTTCTTTCTATTGAGTAATTTTATAGCACTAACATCAAGATGAATTTTACCTGTACCCATCAACATTTGCTCCGTATTTATTGGCGAACTGGTAGACACCCTTCCCCTGATCAATATAGGAACAATATTACTAATTGACAGCGATGCCTTTTCTGTTGATTATCTCTTTTCGCCCTGTTCGCTTGGGTTTGTTTGGCTTATAAGCCGTACTTTTTCTGTCAACGAACAGTATTTTTCTCTCCCACCAAATCAGCCTACTTTTAGCCATGGCTTATCAGCCAAACAAGCCCAAGCGAACAGGACGTTTGTTCTTGCAACATCAACACTTACCTTGGCTGGCCTTCCAGATGCATCAACACCATCCTTCAAGTTCAACCCTCCTGCAGGCCCTGTATGTCAAGTTGTCAACAAGAAAATGTTGTTAGTATTCAATTCCAGAAGAGTGCTACATGGGAATTGTATCCAGTACACTATGAGGTTGTTTAAAGATTTGACAGAATGGTATGCATATGCATGCTTCAAAAGGAACAACACATTTACCGTTTCGAGGGGGTTATAAAAGTTACTATGTCAGATACTTCAGGTTAACATCTGTATTTTTATTTCGAATGCTAGATTATGTTTCATGTATGCACTGACCGAAAGGCTGGGATGTTTGGATCTTCTTTGTTTTCTTGGCCATAACTCTGAAGGTTGAAGATCTTGCTGATGGCTGGACACCTGTGAACCTCGACCGATCCAAGAATGGAGATGGTTTCAGAGACAAAGAGGCCATGACTGAGGCTGCCATGCTGCATGAATGGCTCAGGATTGGACTCTTGCTTTTGCTGCCAGTCTCTCTCTTTCTTGGCAAACTTGTTTGCAGGTAGCTCTTGCTTTAAATACAGCAACAGGGAGGTTAGAGGTAGCAACAAGTGACTAAGCTTGGTTTGACAAGTGTCAGTTGCTGCGTGGTGCCGTGGACCCATGGCTCGCTGCTGTAGTGCTGTTTGATCAGTCTTTCACTCTTTGTCCTTCACATGACTGACTGAAGATGGTCGAATTTGGAGGAAACATCTAGCTGGTGAATGGATAGTGCTGAGAACCTTCTTGCTTTTGCTTTTTCCCTTGATTGAGATTTATTTGTTCCTTTGTGAGTCAGTTTCGCTAATTGCATTTTTCTCAGAATATTTGTGCTGTTGAGTCAATTTCCTATGTTCATTTCAACATTTCACTCTCTAGTTCCATGACAACGTCATAGGCTCACAGCCTGTGGGATCCAATCCTGAACTTTCGCGAACAGTCAGTTTTTTTTTCCACCTGGGGTACATATTATGCTGCTTGCGATGCAGTAAAGGAAATGACATATATGTTGGCTTAAAAAGATGGATGGAGGGTGATTTCTGGACTTGTGGTGGTTCATTTGGCATTAGTCAGGTATTTAAATTTTTAGAGCCATCAGCCATGGTACAGTCAAACCATTTCTGTTTGATGAGTGATGATACTGGCTCACACTCTGACTTTACTGAAATGGCTCTGAATGTACTGGGTTTTTTTTTCCTTGTGTGTGTGTGTGCGCACTGCATCATTCAGGCAAAACTATTGAAGAAAAGGCGATCAAGTGTTGTTGGGCTAAAACTAGGCCTGAAATCATACATCATCACCAGGTCGAGCAGAGGATCCATGCCAGTTGGTTGCAGTTGCACGTAAAATGCTAGTACTATGCTACTGACTAGCACCTTTGCGAACACAAGATTAATATGTACCTTGTAGTTCATTTTGTAACGAGTGATTGTCAACGTGATCCACGACCTAGTTGAGTTTGCGACTAACCATGGCGTGAGTGTGTTGTGCAACATATCTCTTGGCTTGCGGTGTGCAGGTGTGGAGCTCGGAGGCGGTGGTCGACGGCGAGGTGAAGGTTAAGTAGGGACGTGCCGTGCCGATGGACCGGGAGCGGTGAAGGACGAACGTGAGGCTTGGACTGAGGGCCTGTTCGCTTGAACTTATCAGCCGCCTTATCGGCTAGAATCTACAATATTTTTCTCTCACAGTAAAACAGCTTTAGCCGGCTTTAATACCAGCCGAACAGGCCCTGAGGAACCAGGAGGTCGGGTAACCAGCCGTGGTGGCTGACATATAGGACATCAACAAGCGTAAATGTACATGGGAGTGACCGTGTTGACCGAGTCAAGACAGCGGACGTGCGAGTTGAACGGGGCTCTGGAGGACTTGGCGGCCGGCCGATCGAGGACGGCGGTGACACGTGTCAAGTGGCGGGAGACGCGTATGGAGTACGCTACTCGCGGACGGTTTGGTGGGTTGAGCCTCAAAACCATCGGGTGGATGGTTTTCGGGTTTGGGCCTCAAAACCCGGGCGGAGGTTCCGAGGAGGAACGGACGGCACGTGGCGACATCGAGGTCGCGTTGAGGCGAAGCTATCTCATGAAGGGCGTAGTGGCCGTCGGATGAAGGTTACCTCGGGTTGGACCCTAGTACCCTCGGGTTAAGTGGTTCGACTCAAAAATATCTAAGGGTAAAACTAAAATTGTGTAATATCACTGTTAAATATGATAAGGGAGCTCTCATCTCCCTCACCTCTTTCATTTTGCTTCATCCTTCTCTAGGTTTTCCCCTCCCCTTAGGTTTTCTTGTGAGAGAGGTCCACAAATTGGAGAATTTGTGTAAGAACCAAAGATTGCAGCGGGAATGAAGGCCCTAACCTCCTCGTGTCCTCCGGGATTCGATTTGTGAATTGTTCTTGTGAATCGCATTTGTGTTCTTCGCGTTCTTCCTTCCCCCTTCTCTTGTGTGGTTCGATTCGTCGTTTTGAGATCGTTTTTGATTCGTTCCTTTTGCACTGAGATGAACTAGGATATGAGTTGAGCCTTTCCACCGAGGGATTTCATCTAATTCCTCACGAGTTCATAAATCAGGGCGAATCAAGCTATAGGGTTGGAAAACCGGTGTTTTTCGTGTTCATCCAATTTCCCGTTGATTGGCTTCAAATTGGGCGATGATCTCCTAGAGGTAGTTCACCTATTGCCTTGTGACCATGTGGTTAAAATTTGGTGGCAATTGGTTTTGATTTAGCCGCAAATCGGGATTTTCCTTGCTCCTAACGTTTTTCGGGCGACTCTGTTCATGCTGATTTCGCGACTCGCGAACAGTTCGCCCTTGACCCCCGCACAGTCCGCCGTTATTGTTCACGTCACGAGCAGAAGGTCTTCTTTTGGTCGTGTTTTGCTGCTCTGAACACCGGACAGTCCGGGTCTATCCGCGGACAGTCCGGGACTGCTGCTGAAGCGTGTCCAGAATTGTTTTAGCAAGTTTCGTTTTCTGGTGTTTGACTTGCGGACAGTCCGCCGTTCTTCTTTCTACCCATGTCAGAACTGTTTCTCATCGTTCAGTTTTCGGGGGTTGAACGCCGTACAGTCCGGCCCTCAACCCCGGACAGTCCGGGACCTGACCCGCGGACAGTCCGGACTCCCTACGGCAGACAGTCCGGGCCTGTGCAGATTGTGCTGTTTTCTCTTGTTCTTTCGAGCACTTATTTCCGTCGGTTCTCGGTTGATCCACTGTGTCTCTTGGTCATCGTCAAAGGTTCCCAGCCACCCGTTGGCTCGTGATCATACCGTTCTCTAGTGACTTTGCTCTTGGGTCATAATTTTGGAACAGCGGTTTAAAGTTTCGAAAGAAATTTGAGGCTCCCGTTCAAACCCCCCATTTCCGGTCCTTCAACCTTGCAACATGACTCCAACAAAGTTATAGAAGAAAAAACTGCATAGGTGGCAAGATTTCCAGAAGAGCAGAAAATGGAGAGCAGCATCATGAGCTCAACAAACTCTAGTCTTCATTCTAATGATGGAATACAGTTAGGATTCTTGCCGGAAGCATCAGCAAAAAAGCCAAAAACCAAGGCAGAGGTTGTTAGGACCGTGCAAGCACGGGTGTGTTGCTGTGTGCGCGCTCGCAGGCCTTCAGGGCTTGTGTTGTTGCTGATGGGGCAGAGCAATCATGGATCACTTCATTGCCAGTTAAGAGTACTGATTTTGTCTCCCAGTAGAGTGAGGGAGGAGACCCATCAGAATAATCGTAACTCTGGTCTAAGCCCTAATCACTGCCCCTAACTAAAACACTACAGTGATCATTGCTTCTACCTCTCTTTTCTTCTTAAAAAAGGTGATGCCTAGGCTAGGAACCAAATCAAAGAATCCAAGTAGAAAAATCCACACACAAAATCATTACAAATTTACAATCTGTCGAACCAGTGCTGACTGCCTAGTGGTAGTTTTGTGCTAGTGTGGAGACGGGTGGGCATGATACCTTCTGGCCCCGTTCGCTTCGCTGAAAAAACAAGTGGAACACTGTTCCGACTGATTTGTTGTGAGAGAAAAATACTATTTCGGCTGAAAAAAAAAAGCTAAAAAATATGAATTATAAGAGAAACGAACAGGGCCACCTATTTCGGATAGCCGGGTAGGTTGCGATTCGTGTACTCTGCTAAAAGAAGAAAATCCATCTGGTCACATACATGTACCGCGAATGTTGATCGGAGAAGAAAGTGATGCTATTGGAGGTGGTTGTGTTCGTCATCATTGTTTGGCACGATCTTGCACCCCGCATGGATCAGAAAATGTAGTATATATCTTCTGTTGCAAGTGTGAAGCATGAGCATTGAGCACACACAAAAAGGTGATGTTCTAGCTAGTAGAATTGAACTAGTTCAGCTAGCTGCCTGCGGATCGGACGAGGTGATTTTGTATAGGTGAAAATAGTACAATTCATACTAGAAAGGAAGGACCATGAAAACAGTGCATTATTTCAGTCCTTGACCAACCTGGATGGCTATATGTCGTTCAGTTACACCTTTTCTTCTATATTTTTCCCCCAAAAATAAACAAATGTTTCAGCACATTTCATATTTAATCTGTACTCAACTCATTTGTTCCTACGCGGTTATCTAAAAGGTGTACACTTGCCAAAAAAAAGAAAACTCAATCAAAACTTCAAAAGGCAAAAGGGAGTTAAATAAAATCAACTTTCTTGCTGAACTTTTCTTTACGAAGCTGAGGGAGCTCCGGCTAAGCGTGCAAAGTGCAAACTGTTGGTGCGTGCCCCAGGCCAGAACACTCGGCGCCGTCTCTTCGCTGTAAAGACTAAAGCCACCTGGAGCGTGCGCCGTCTCTCCGGCTGGTCCGTGACAGTGAGCAACACCTCACTCTTGTCCTAATCCAGCCATCCCAAAAAAAAAAAAATTATTTACTGCAATGTTGTTCTCTGTTGTGACCAGTTGAGTGTCTGTTAGGAGAAAACATGACCTGTTTTGCTGAATCATTTGCCCCGTTCGCTTGGCTGAAAAAAAATACTGATCATTGACTGAAAAAATACGGCTTATAAGCCAAGCGAACAGTGCGATTAGCCTTTGCAGTAATTCTCGTCTATCACTTCTCCCATCAGTCTTGCCAAGAGACACGTAGATTGTACAAGGTCTCTAGTCTTCATCATAGGCACTCGAACGCTGGCTGACTTTGTGATATATAAGCAGACCTGATGCCCTACTAAGTACTAATGCAGAAAGACTACTACACTCGCAGTTCTAGACTTCTTTTTTTTTGTAAGGAAAAAAAAAGTAGTTCTAGACTTCTATAGTACTCACTCTTTTTACTGACTTGTTTTGATCACTGGAGGGTGGATTGGAAGCAGAAGAAGAATCATCCGAGGCAAGAGAGAACTGAATGCTCCTGTACAAGTTTGGTGCAGTCCCCACATAATCCATCCAGGCTGCACTGTTCA